ATTTCCTGGTTAAAGAAGATCCCGGACCACCCGAAACAGCTCTGCTGGACAACATGGTTGGAGAAATATTGCCATTTTGCAAGCTGTATTGCCACGAAATAGGCCCAATAATGGGCTCTAAGTCGTGTTCGATCGGACTCCCAGCGGGATTTCCTCCACCTGTGCTCCAGCCATCTCCCCTCTCACTTCATTGCCCGCAGTTCAGAAGTACAGTGGTGCCTCCCTTAGCGACATTAATTCGTTCCGCAAAAATCGTTGCAGAATGAAAACATCGCTATGCGATATTAAAAAGCCCATAGAAAGGCATTGAAACCCCTTCAATGCATTCCTATGGGCTTAAAACTAAACTTAAAGTGAAGATCCTCCATAGTGCCGCCATTTTCGGTGCCTCTAAAGCGAGGAATCCATCCCTAAACACAGCGGGCGGCCATGTTTTTTTTCCGGCGGCCATTTTGAAACCGCCGATCAGCTGTGCAAAAATGGGGGCTTTGCGATGATCGCTTCCCTGCGATCATCGCAAAGTGAATTTTCCCCATAGAGAACATCGCAAAAACAGCGTCGCTAAATGATTTTGTCATTAAACGAAGTGATTGCTAAGCGAGGCACCACTGTATACCAAGGAGCTGTCTGGGCTCTGCATGCAGGGAGAGGGTGCTTAGGCACAGTTGTGCCAACCCCCCAGGTCATCTCCCTATTCCATAGGGTGACCTGAGCTTTGACAGGAGCGCCAACCATATCAGATGGATAATCCCCCAGAGCATTCAGGAAACCATCTGGATCCAAGGGCAGATCATCTTAATAGATCCCTCACCCTTGCAGAGGGGAGAAGCTAATAGACTAAACTTGACCAGGAAGTGGTCTGACCACAACGGGTCACAAGCCCCTCCACAGCCAAACCACCATCTTCCAGTCTTGTTGAAAAAAACAGGTCCAAGGTATGGCTCTTCTCATGTGTTGGGCCGATGACACATTGTGTTGGGCCGATGACACCATGGTTGTCATGGTGGGCATGAAGTCCTGAGCCGCCCCAGTCAAGGCAGCCTCGGCATGGATGTTGAGGTCCCCCAGCACCAACAGCCTGGGAGTCCTCAATACCAGGTCTGAGACTACCTCTGTAAGCTCAGGCAGGGAGATTGTTGGTACGCAGCAGGGTGGGTGGTATACCAACAGAATCCCTAATCTGTCTCGCAAGCCCAACACACAATACAGGCCCTCAAGACCTCCTCTCAAAGGGATAGGAAGCCTGGTCAAGGAGATAGAACTCCTATGACTATAGCAACTCCCCCTCCCCGACCCTCTGAGCAACATTGGTGTTGGACCGAGTACCCAGGTGGACACAGCTGGGAGAGGGGGACACCACCCTCCTCTCCCACCCAGGTCTCAGTAATGCACACCAGGTCAGCACCCTCATGCAGAATGACATCATGGATGAGGGCAGTCTTATTTTATACTGACCAGGCATTCATTAACAGCACCATATGGCTGGGGGTAGGACTAGAAGAGGGGACAGATGTAAGATATCTAACTTCTCTTCTCCTATGTGGGCATGTTCTACCCCCACTGCCATTCCTTCCCCTACCCAACACCACCTCAATGGCTGTCCCCTCCAACACCCTCCCCCCTTCCTGTTCCCTCAAATCCACTGTGGATCTCTCTTAATTGATGGCAATTAATAATCACAATTTTAAAAAATTCTTCTAAAGCCCCTTTTCTCCTCCAGCTAGGTGGCTGATGTTGAGGAGAGGGTGAGGGAGCCAGGAGTAGCAGGGCCCAGTCCTGCAAAGCAGAGGGAGACTGAGCCAGGCTCCCTTGGGAAAAGTTGGCAGCCAGCAACCGCCCAACCACATTCCCACTGTCTCTCGCACACTAACCTATAGAAGACAGATGGTTTTTGGCTCTCCTGAATGCTGGTCCAGTTTAGTCATTAAGTCATGTCCAACTCTTCGTGACCCCATGGAGCAGAGCATGCCAGGCCCACTTCTCTTCCACTGCCTCCCAGGGTTGTGGTCCAACTTGCAAGTTAATGCTGCTTCTGTACCACTGTGTGCTTACTCTCCAACACGTCTCTGTTTTCTGCTCTCAGAGGAGAAGCAGAGTTCTTTCTCCTATGGAGATGAGACGTATGTCCCCTGCAGGTGCCCGAGTTCTGCCCTGATTGCACGGAGGCCAATTTTGCTTTGGTGTATTCCTTGGGAATGAAGGGCTTATCGTCTTCGGTGGGGGTCTTTCTCCTCACTTCTTCACAGCGATGTGATAAATTTGGAAATGCAGGTGCTCCCCTCAAAAGGCAGCCCTGCCCGAAAGAATAGTCCCCAAATGCAGGCAGCTGCAGGGGTCTACATCAACAAATGATGGGTAGGTCTTTTGTTCTTATTTGCCCTTTCAACTCTGAAATACCCTCATCTACTTCACATTAAAACCGGGATTGTTCCTGGGAATTTTTTGCTTTCTCCCAACTGCTGTGAGGATTGTAGCTAAGCTCAGAGGGAGGAGGAGAGATTAGGAAAGGAGTGGTAGCTGATGTCCCCATCCCTTCTGCTCAGAAAGGCCTGGGACTTCAACCCTATAAGTCCTGGTCCTGACTCCACTACACCACTGCATCTCAGTGACAAAGGGACTCATAGTTAGAAAATGTTTGCCAAGCTGCAAAGAAGTGACAACTTTCTGCCAAAGAGTCGTAGGAAATCATTCCCTCCTTTCTTAAGACCCTTGCATTGCTCGGGTATCATTTCAGAGGAAGCTAGTATTTTAAAACAAGCTAACTAACTATTCCAACAACTAGCTTAAGAAAAAAAGTATGCTTCAATTTTCTTTCACTAGAGGGCAAACTTGATCAACATTTAGAAAGCCCCTTCAGAAACTAATAAACGAAAGAATATAAGTTTCTAAGCTATATGAGGGGAAGAAGTGAGCTAATGCAACATCCACATTGCTGAATGATATTTTCTTTTAAGAATACATATAATTGGTTTAAGAAAAAAAGCATTATGAACGGGAAAAATCATCTCTAAAAAGTGAAAATCATTACATACATAAAAGATAATTTTATTGTCACAGTCAAGTCACATAAAAATGCACATAACAAAAGTATCTCTTACCGTTAATCTACCTGCAGGCATAACATTTCTAAATTACAAGTGTCAATTTTCATGTCCTCTATTTCTCTCTTTTCTTTCTCCCTTTCATATTTATACATTTTTCTCATCACAAGTGGCTATAGGCAAGATCATAAGAATCAAAGATTGTCATTTCTTATTTAGTATAAGTTGTTTAGTGATTATCTGTTGCATTTAGCAACTAATTGGTTCTGAAATCATCCATCTGCCATTAGCTTATACAGTACAAAAGACTTTGGTTTTATGAAGGAACAGCACATCTGCCGAGATACATATACTGTTACCTAGGGCAGTGGTCCCCAACTTTGGGCCTCCAGATGTTCTTAGACTTCAAATCCCAGAAATCTTGGCCAGCAGAGATGATGGTGAAGGCTTCTGGGAGTTGTAGTCCAAGAACATCTGGAGGCCCAAGGTTGGGGACTACTGACCTAGGGTTTCATTCAAGTAATACCACTGAGTTGGACCAATTACTTTTTAAAAACCGTAGTCCAACTTACCCTCCGATTTTCAGGGGGGGCTCCACACAGAGGGTTCCACTGCAACTGGAGCCAAAGTGGTTGAAAACAATCGTTGTAGTAACTCATGTGCCTTGGTAGACTAATCTAAATACACATGTAGTATGGGTGCAGTAGGGTTTCATTCAAGTAATACCACTGAGTTGGACCAATTACTTTTTAAAAACCGTAGTCCAACTTACCCTCCGATTTTCAGGGGGGGCTCCACACAGAGGGTTCCACTGCAACTGGAGCCAAAGTGGTTGAAAACAATCGTTGTAGTAACTCATGTGCCTTGGTAGACTAATCTAAATACACATGTAGTATGGGTGCAGTTCTTTTCATGTAGTAACTCATGTGCCTTGGTAGACTAAATACGCATGTAGTATGGGTGCAATTCTTTTCATTGGATACAAGTCTTTCACGGTAGCCTCATTCCATTGTTCTGAAGCCTGCAAGCATCTGCGCAGGAAGAAAGTAGCCCACCATCTCCCTCCTTGCATTGTTATTGCAAGCACTGATGTGTCTGAAGAGAAGGGTCCTGCTCCCATGTAGATTTCACACAGGAACAAGAATCAAGCTCTTCCAGCGCTCTTGCCCATATGTAAAATCTAACATGGAAGCAGGAATCTCTCCAGATTCACCATTGCTAAGATGACGAAAGCAACATGCAAGGGGAGCAGGGGGCTAAGATAGATTGTCTTCATAAGCAAAGCTGGGAAAATTCACTTGTTTGAACTTCCAAGTGCTGGTATGGTTGGGAGTTTGATTCGCGACTGTGCCTCTTTGACAAGAGCTGGACTCAATAACCCATAGGGTCCCTTCCAGCTCTGCAGTTCTAAGATAATTGTTATTATTAATTCCTAGAATCCCTCTTCCATCATAGCCAGTGACCATGTTGGCAGAAGAATTCTTGGAGTAATAATCCAAAATGATAGCATTTTCAAAGCTGTGTTTGCTATATTAGCAGAAACTGCAAAATGGCACTAAAATGATTATGGAAAGTCATCATCATCATCAATGAGACAGTCAATTTGGACACCTTTGGTGGCTTAATATTAAAATGCACAGGCCAAGATCCTAATCATTGTGGCCACCACCTAATGAAATTGGCTTAAATCTCAACAGGGATCTGTTATAGGTACGAAGTTTGTATATCCATTTTCTGCTCCAAGTCACAGCATGCAAAAGCAAAGGCCTACGCTAACTCCTTACCTTGTGGGATTTAGCTATAGAGATTCATGTCAGTTGTGTTACATCAGGGTAAAACTCAAAAGAATTGTGGCCACTTTATTCCCAGGACACAAATAGTTCGCTTAAAAATGTAAAAATTTACCATACCCAATATAAAATAGCCAACTCAAACCTTAGAGAGCAAGGTTTTTTTAAAAAAAATTATTGAATGTCTGAATGACATGTGAGAATGTTATCTGTACTTAGAAACACAGGACAAGTGAGATATTTGAACATTAAGGTAGTTTTGCAGCTTTAAATGTGTAAATATTAATCAAGTGCAAATAAAATCAATTTCATTACTTATATACTAAAAGAAATCTGAAACAAAACTCAGAAATGTAACTAGCTTATTAAACATGTCAAGGCTCCACCACAGCACTTTGATTTGAAGAGAAATTTTCAAGGTATCGTTGGGCAAAGCGCACAATCTGCCTCAAGGCCAAAAGAATGAGGATATCAACATCATCCTTAAGTTCCACCTCTGAACAGTAATCTTTTACAGGAACTATCTGACTCAAAGGGATGCCAAGTTTTCCTGATGCTGTCTCCATCTGTAGAGGAAATAAGAACATGACTGATTATCAAAAAGAGAACTCTGCTTTGGTTTCAGAAAAAGATGACCATTGACATGGTCTGGGTACTGCTGACCCTGTCAAGTTACCGTCTGGAATCTTTTGTGTGTTTTCTGGATGGCTATGCTGCTCTGTTAGAAGCACTGACTAGAGTACAAACTAAATTACTGGAATTCATTGTCAGTACCTTTTATAATAATACAAATGGGTGAATTTGTGCATGCATTTGTGTGTGTGTGCTACTACCATAGTCTCACGACTAAATATAAACAGATTCAGATGAAATTTGGCAGGAATACTGAGGAATCCCTTGAAGTTGTTTATCTGTGCAACACAATTGTTTATGACTTGATTATTATTTTTTCAGCCTCTTTGATGCCTCAGATTACTACATGTACTGAGGATGTGATAAGATTCAGTAACTATGCTCCCATCTCATATCCCTTCAGTTTCCAGACTGGGTTAACCCACCTGGTCTGGGGCAGCTTAATGTCATTCTGATCACCATGTACAACTGTGAAAGCTGAACAGTTAAGAAAGTTGACAGGAAAAAAATGTTTTGTTTGAAATACAGTGTTTTCTGCATACCCTAGACTGCCAGAAAGACAAAGAAGTGAGTCCTAGATCAAATCAAGCCTGGATTATCTCTGTCCTACTTTGGGCATATCATGAGAAGGCATGTCTGGAAAAGACAATAATGCTGGGAGAGGAAGAAGGCAGCAGGAAAAGAAGATGACCAAATACAAGATGAACCGACTGCCTAAAGGAAGCCATGGGTTTGTTTTTAAAAGCGCTCAGCAGAACAGTTGAGGATGGGACGTTTTGGCAATCACTCATTCTTAGATTGCCAGAGGTTGGTAATAAGAAGCACAAATTTCTTACAAAGATGTAAGTGCAGCCTTCCTTTACAATAAAAAAGTAAGTTAACGGCAGAAATCCTGTTGCCTAGTGTAGCAAGACACACTCCAGTAGCCCTATTGAATCCATGGGGATTTGGTACAGTAACTCACCTGTAAGTTCTATTGATCCAGATGGGCCTACTCCAGTGTGATTTGTCATACTAAGTAACACGGTTTCAACAGTATATGTTTTGCCCCCTTAAGACACTGCCAGGGGTATAAACTTACCTAAAAGAAGAGATGTGCCCCTGTATCTTTTGTCAGTATTCCTTTTCTCCCTCATGGATCTTCCTATGCCTGTTAAATTGCAGTTTAAAAAGTGACAGAACTGCTCAGAAGGAAGAACAAGTTCTCAACACAGGACTCAACCCTGCAGTTAAATGCAGAAGCCTATGGATGGTAGCATGGAACCAGGTGCCCTGCTTCGATGAGGCTGAAATCCTAGTTAAGTGTGGGGAAGGCTGCAACCTAAATGCTGAGCATGTGTATTTGTTTTATACAGTGATTTAAGAACATGGCAGTGATGATAACGAATGAAAAGGCCAGCACACTGTGGTTAGCCTGACCATGTTAGAGTAAGGCTGCCTTTTTAAAACAATGACATTGACATGCAGAACAATAACAAGCATTTACCTTTTGTTTAACAGCTTGGCTTTTGTACACATCGGAAACATCTTCTTTAAGAAAAGAAGAGATTTCATCCACTTTAGTAAGTAATACAAGCTGTGGCAATTCTGGAAAGAGAAAACAAGTTATTAAAAGAACAGTATCACCAAACATGGATTTCCCAGTCTCGTGAATTCACTCTCATGGCTGTCTTATCAAATACAAATGTTTCACACACTCCAGCTGTCCCCATTTGTATCCAAATACTACAACAGAGAAATGAGGGGTACCTTGCTTTACGGTGCTGCAAAAACACATAATTTCTCATAATTTTAACATGGGATCATCCCCAAACCAATGTCTAATCTGTGGGCAGAAGTGGTTCCTGTGACTGAGATTGTTTGGGGGATGATCCTACATAAAAAATTATGTGGATCCATAAGGATCTCTGCCTCTGATCCATTTTTGCCCAAAGTGGTGCATCGGCTTCTCGACTATACCCAATCACTCACCAGAGCTTGGAAATGTTAATTTTTGAACCTTCTTTTCAGAGTACAATTTCCAGAATTCTGGATCATATTATCATGATTCTTTCTTTCTTTGTTCTATAGGCCACCTTTCCCCTGATAAGTGTACCCAATGCGGCTCACAATATTAAAAGAATAAAATTAAAAACATAGTATCAATTCTAAAGGAAATCAACCCTGAGTGCTCACTGGAAGGACAGATCCTGAAGCTGAGGCTCCAGTACTTTGGCCATCTCATGAGAAGAGAAGATTCCTTGGAAAAGACCTTGATGTTAGGAAAGTGGGATGGCAGGAGGAGAAGGGGACGACAGAGGATGAGATGGCTGGACAGTGTCTGCGAAGCAACCAACATGAAATTGACACAACTACGGGAGGCAGTGGAGGATAGGAGGGCCTGGCATGCCCTGGTCCATGGGGTCACAAAGAGTCAGACACGACTGAATGACTAAACGACGACGGTGAATAACCCCGTCCGTCCGGCTGTGGCAGCGGGCTCATTCATCCTTCCAATCACTCCTGGAGCTCCACTCCAGGCAAGGCGAAGGAGGACGAGTCTCCCTGGACAACTGCAGAGTCACTAGCTGAGCAGGAAGAGAGCAGAGCTCTGGGAGTGATTGGAAGGACACGTGAGTGGACAGTCCACCCCCAGGGGGTGGTCCCTCATTTACTCCAGCTGCGTAGGGATATGAATGCAAATACCCCATCTCTAATTAAAAGCTATCTTAACTTTAAAATGACATTCTAAGATTGAATCATCATTGTTAATCATGATTCATTCCAGCTCCTAGAATCCCTTGACCAGCACTTCATGTGCACATAAGTATGCTTTGACACAACTCCCAGAATTCCCCATGTGGCATGGCTGCTGGAATTACATGGGTTGTGGTCCAAAAACCTAAGCATGCACACTTCTAACCAGTACAGCCAGTGGCCTGGGAATCCTGGAAGTTTTACTTCAGAAAAGTAACTTCCAAGCACTGCACTGACTGACAACAAATAGGGATCAGGTGAAATCTGGAAATGGATTCAGCTCTTTGTGAATAAAAAGCTGCTTCAAATATACGCTAGCCCTGGACACAAAACAGGTCCTCCATGTTGCACAATAAAGTGCCTCATCATTTACCTCTGAAGAGGCTGCAGAAGTGTTAAGATTCTTTTCAAAACACAAGGCCAAGTTCTTTCAGCACCACCTTACAGTCAAGGACTAGATGATCTTGCATACCTTGAGAAGCCATCAGTTTGTGACCCATTGCTTTGCTTGAGAATATAAGTGGGAAAGACTGTGTGTGGCCTTTTGCAATGGTGCTGAGCTACAACCTCCATCATTCCTGACCAACTTGAAATGAGTCAAAATCCAACAATACCTGGAGGGACATTGCTTCCTCTTTCTTGTGCCAGAGGATAAGCAATAATTCAAGTGCATAGCATCACACTATGATCTTTTCGTTTCAAGCTCTTTATACATAAATATCAAAGCCTTACCAAATTCATTAGCTTTTTCTCGAATTTCTTTAAGCTTTGTTTCCATCTTCTCAGGGAGGATTTCAATATTCGACCCATCAACAACAAACACAACACAGTGAATCTCCTCCTTCAGAGAGGGAGACTTGATGTAGCCGGGTGTATTTGGTTGCATAGCAGCAATTGGATTAAACTGGAAATTACAAAAATATTGCAATCTCAGTAAAAACAACAGAGGATAGTTAAACCACAATCCAATTCCTGCAAGAAATTTCTAGATACAAACAGTAGGCATCCTTCAATCTCAAGAAACTATGGTAACCTTTTCTGAAAAGAGGTCTTGGAACAGCATCTAGTGTGGCTGAGAAGGCCAATTCAAGAGTGACAATCTCTTCCACAATGAAGAAAAACACAACCTGTCCCCTGTCCAGCTCCCTGATTTTGCTGATTTGGGGACTGCCTCTTTGCCTCGGCCTGCTGAACAAGGGTCTCTTCAAATTGGGAGAGGCCGTGATGCAATGCCTGCCACCAAGCTGAACGTGCAGTGTCAAGGTTTCCCATCTGTTGAGGTCCATTCCTAAGGCCTTTAGATCCCACTTGCAGATATCCTTGTATTGCAGCTGTGGTCTCCCTCTGGGGCGCTTTCCCTGTACTAATTCTCCATCCAGGAGATCCTTTGGAATCCTATTATCAACCATTCTCAGAACATATCCAAGCCAACATAGACGTCACTGTTTCAGAAATTTATACACGGTAACAATTCCAGTTCATTACAGGACTGCACTATTTGGAACTTTGTCCTGCCAGGTGATACCAAAAATGTGTTGGAGACAACACATATGAAACATGTTCAACTTCCTCTCATCCCATGCACGAAGGGTCCAGGACTCACTACAGTACAGGAGTGTACTCAGGGCACAAGCTCTATAGACCTGGATCTTGGTATATGCCCCCAGCTTCTTGTTAAGCCATACTCTCTTTGTGAGTCTAGAGAACATGGTAGCTGCTTTGCTAATGCTTATATCAGGCTCAACATCTAGAGAGAGTGTCAGAGATAGTTGAGCCAAGGTACACAAAACCATGAACAAACTCCAATTCTTCTACAGAGATGGTAACAGAAGGAGGTGAGTCCATGTCATGGCCCATGAGTTGTGTTTTCTTCAGGTTGATTGTTAATCCAAAATCTTGGCAGGCCTTGCTGAAGTGATTCATAAGTTGCTGGAGGTCTTCGACAGAATGGGCAACAGCAGCTGCCTCATCGGTGAAGAGGAAGTCCCGCATGCATTTCAGCTGGACTTTGGTCTTTGTTCTCAACCTAGAGAGATTAAAGAGCTTTCCATCTGATCTAGTCTGGAGATAGACACCTTCTGTTGCAGTTCCAAAAGCATGCTTCACCATGAGAGAAAAAAGATTCCAGAGTCAGCACTAGAACACAGCCCTGTTTCACTCCACTCCGAATGTCAAAGGGATCTGATGTTGAGCCGTCAAAAACTACAGTGCCCTTCATTTCCTCATGAAAGAACCTAGGTGGACAGCTAATCTTGGGAAATATTTTAAAAAGGCCATCCCTGCTAACCAGAGATAGTCCTTGTCTATTGATGCACTATTTGTTTTATAATTTAAATGGTTTATTTTATATGTTGTTAGCCACCCAGAGTAGTCAGTTGACTAAATGGGCAGGGTACAAATTCAATAAATAAAAATAATAAATAATAACCAAATCAAAGGCATTTGTAAGATCTATGAAGGCCACAAAGAGGGGCTGTCGTTGTTCCCTACATTTCTCCTGCAACTGTCTGAGGGAAAATACCATGTCAATGATGGATCTACAGTATTAGCTCGAAATCCACACTGTGATTCTGGATAGACTCTGTGTGCAAGCACCACCTGGAGCCTCTTCAGCACAACACGGGCAAGCAGCTTCCCTACAACGTTGAGAAGAGAGATGCCACAGTAGTTACTGCACTTGCCCCTGTTGCCTTTGTTCTTATACAATGTGACAGTGTTTGCATCCTTCATGTCCTGTGGTACTCCACCTTCCCTCCAGCAAAGACAAAAGATTTCATACAGCTCAGTGGTGATGATCTCTTTACAGCACTACAGCACTTCAACAGGGATGTTATCTTTCCCAGGTGCCTTGCCAAAGGCAAGGGACTCCAAGGCCACTTTTATTTCTGCTAAAGTTGATTTGCCATTCAACTATTCCAAGACAGGCAGGCACTGGATATTATTTAATACTTCTTTGGTTACTATGTTCCCGCTAAAATATAGCTCAGAGTAGTGCTGCACCAAGCGTTCCATCTGTGTATTCCGTCCTGGATGATCACACCTGTAGCAGTCTTCAAAGGAGCAGATTTCTTCTCCACTTTTATTTCTGCTAAAGTTGATTTGCCATTCAACTATTCCAAGACAGGCAGGCACTGGATATTATTTAATACTTCTTTGGTTACTATGTTCCCGCTAAAATATAGCTCAGAGTAGTGCTGCACCAAGCGTTCCATCTGTGTATTCCGTCCTGGATGATCACACCTGTAGCAGTCTTCAAAGGAGCAGATTTCTTCTCTATTGGACCTAAAGCCTGCTGGTTCCATCATACTTTCCCTTGATGTTACCTGTGTCCGCTGCTATCTGTATCTGAGAGCAGAGCTGAAGCCAATAATCGTTAGAACATCTCCTGGCAGCCTGTTGGACTTTGCTACAAGCAACTCGGGGAACCTGCAAGTTGTACTCACTAGGATAGGCTTTGTATGCTGCTAGAGCTCTCCTCTTTTCTTCGATGGCTGGCATCAACTCCTCCAAATCGGCTTCAAACCAGTCTGCTGTCTTTTTGGTCTTCTTGCCAAATGTGGACAAGGTGATATAATAAACAGCATTCTTGAAATGCTCCCATCATTCAGACATAAACAAACATCAGAAATATCTACTCCAAAACAAATGTCTTGCATAAAACAAATATACCTAAATTATTCTACCAAATGGCAGAGAAAGCAAGAGCCTATGTAATTATGTAACGGTTTCCCTGAACACAGGTTCAGTGGTGTGGATCGTAGCAAAAAGTTGCTTCATAGACAGCTTGGCCCACAGAGACCAGTCCTCCTGCTCTGTTTTTATCTGGCTTTCACATCCAAGATCGGCATACAAAAATCAATCCAACTGCAAAAGGAGTCGCAAATTACAAGAAGTGGCAAGTCCGAATATCACGGCCACATGACATATGCACAGCTTATGCTAAGAAAAGTAGCTATGCAAGACACAGATTACTGAATAACCATTTCTTTATTTCAAATGAGCTGTGGAGTGTTAGGTAATGCATCCTACCTGATACCCATCAGGAATATGTCCTTTTAATATGCTGATCACATCATCAGTTCTCAGGCTGGCGAGTTCTCTTTCTTCTAGCCCCATGGTGTCACAGAAGAGGATGGGCAATGGCTTTCCAGTGCTTCTATTTTTCACTTCATAGGTCCTGTACTTTTTTTTTAAGAGGAAAAAAATAAATATTAAAGTACACTCCCATCCACTTGGTTTTTGGTGTTTTTTTTAATATGTGAATGACAATAATCAAATACTCATAAACATAAAGAACCACTTTTCCATGGTTTTTTTTTTAATAACCTGTATCACAAAATTAAGAATAGGGGCAGCCTGCTGAGACAGTGGCTGCAATTCTCTTAGTGTAACTTTACAACACACAGTTATGATGGCATCCTGCAAAGATAGTTTTTAACTGATTTGGAAGCTTCTTGTTTCCTCCTATTTGCATTCCAAGGGTCTCTACAGTTCCTTTTCAACCTGGTGAGGCCTTGAGGATTCTCCGGACGGGAGGGGAGTATTAACTAATATTGCCACCAGATCACAGAGTCCCGATCCTACTAGCTTTGATCTGTTGGGGATTTTTGTGGATTCAAGATCTCCTCCATCCCAAGGCTCCCAAAGACTTCCTTGGGAAGAAAATGATGTACTTTAAAATATAAACATAATGATGTCAGGCACCATTTCTATCTCATATGACATATCGACATGTTTGCCAAATTGACAATGCATCTATAGCAGACTGTCCATCAATTCCTTAAGTGCGCATTTAACATATCCAAACTATAAATACAAGCATTCACCTGAACTGCTGGTCAAAAAGCAGAGCACCAAACTACTACAAAAGTTAACAAATTGTGCTTTCTAATTATGTGATACAGAAATCAAACACCTGTAACAACAATTCCAAGCACTTCATCTATGACACTGGCTTTTAAATTGGGAAATATATCACTATTCGTAAGATATTAGGACGGGTATTGAAATACATTAAGATAAAAAAGAACTTCCTTGGTATTACTGCTGCACGAAAGAGCAGCAATGCTCTTTTGCTGGCAGAGCAAATCAATATTCTATCGGAGAATTCCAAGAACGCGGTCAGCCCAAGCAAAAATTATAACTTTTAAACTGGGCTTCAGTTCAGCACCAAACTGGACACAGTTGTAGCTGACAGACTCCTCTTCTTCTCTGCCAGATTTGGGAAGGTTTGACAAAGGATTTTTGAGTTAAGTTTTTTTTTTTTATAAAGCACAGCTATTTTACACACACATATTAAAAAATTCAATTCCTTAAGTGCGCATTTAACATATCCAAACTATAAATACAAGCATTCACCTGAACTGCTGGTCAAAAAGCAGAGCACCAAACTACTACAAAAGTTAACAAATTGTGCTTTCTAATTATGTGATACAGAAATCAAACTCCTGTAACAACAATTCCAAGCACTTCATCTATGACACTGGCTTTTAAATTGGGAAATATATCACTATTCGTAAGATATTAGGACGGGTATTGAAATACATTAAGATAAAAAAGAACTTCCTTGGTATTACTGCTGCACGAAAGAGCAGCAATGCTCTTTTGCTGGCAGAACAAATCAATATTCTATCGGAGAATTCCAAGAATGCGATCAGCCCAAGCAAAAATTATAACTTTTAAATTGGGCTTCAGATCAGCACCAAATTGGACACAGTTGTAACTGACAGTCTCCTCTTCCTCTCTGCCAAATTTGGGGAGGTTTGACAAAGGATTTTTGAGTTAAGCTTTTTTTTTATAAAGCACAGCTATTTTACGCACACATATTAAAAAACAGGGAACCAGGATAAAATACAGAGAAAGTGGGAAAAGGATATTGAACAACTATAAAAAAGAGACAAAAGGATGACAGATTCCTTTGAAGAAGAATCATATGTTGAAAAACCCTCTATTCTAGAAAATGAAGCAGAGATAAATAGAATACCAATAGAACTGTTTCAAGCCACAGACTGAATATGGCCATCAAAATCCTAACAAAATCCTAGCAAGGATATGCCAACGGATATAGGAAACAAAACAATGTCCCACAAACTGGGAATGCTCGATTTACTTTCCAGTCCCCAAAAGGAAATGCAAGAGTGAACTAACTGCAAAATGATCACTTAAATTTTTCATACAAGCAAAGTGATGGTATTGCAACAAAAGCTTTTGCCATATATGAAGTGAGAAATGCCTGATGTTTAAACTGGATTCCTCATATTGCAAATATGTGCAGGCTACTGAAGAGCACCAAAGAATTTCAATAGAAGAGTCAATGCTCTATAGATTACAGCAGAGCTTTCGACTGTGTAGATCATGAAGAACTAGGAGTTGCTCTGAAAGAAACAGGTGAACCTCAGCACTTGAGTGTCCTGATGTGCAACTTGTATTGTGAACAAGATGGTACCCTTAGAAGAGAATATGGAGAGACAGAATTGTGTCAGACAAGGATGCATTTTACCCCCTTATCTCTTCAGTATGTACACAGAACATACGATAAATAAAGCCGGAATAGATTCCCATGAAGGAGGAGTGAAAACTGCTGGAAGAAACAGCAATAATTTAAGATATGCAGATGACACCACCCGACTGAAGGAAATCCACAATGACTTGTAATGACTTTTAGTGGAAGTGGAAGAAGAAAATTGCAAAGCAGGACTGCAGTTGAACATTGAAAAGAAGAAAAATATGACTATAGAAAAACTTAGTCCTAAAAAATGACAATCTTGAAATAGTTAAGAGATTTTGTATAACTTGTCTCAACCCATCAATCCAAATGGAGACTGCAGTCAAGAAATCAGAAGAATGACACTAGGAAGGGTAGCAATTAAAGAATTAGAAAAGATCATTAAATGTATTGATGTGTCACTGGAGACCAAGACCAAAATCATCCACAAGCTTGTCTTTCTGATCACAGATGTGAAACCTGAACAGTTAAGAAAGCTGACAGGAAAAAAAATGTGATTGATTTGAAATGTGGCGTTGGAAAGGAGCTTTGTTGATACCCTGGACTAGTTATGCATCCTTCAGTCTCGAAAGACTATGGTAACGTGCTCTGTATGGAGGACTTGGAACAGCGTCTAGTGTGGCTGAGAAGGCCAATTCGAGAGTGACAATCACTTCCACACTGAAGACAAATCCAATCTGACCCCTGTCCAGCTCCCTGCTTTTGCTGCTTTTCTGACTTCCTCTTCACCTCGGCCTGCTGGATAAGGGTCTCTTCAAATTGGGAGAGGCCGTGATGCAACACCTGCCTCCAGGGTGAATGCTCAGATGTCAGGGTTTCCCATCTGTTGAGGTCCATTCCTAAGGCCTTTAGATCCCGCTTGCAGATATCCTTGTATCGCAACTGTGGTCTCCCTCTGGGGCAAATTCCCTGCACTAATTCTTCATACAGGAGATCCTTTAGAATCCGACCATCAGCCATTCTCACGATGTGCTCAAGCAAACATAGACGTCTACCCTGGACTATCAGAAAGACAAACAAATGGGTCTTAGATGAATTAAAGTCTGAATTATCTCTTGGAACATCTTGAGAATGCAGGATTCTCTGGAAAAGACAATATTGCTGGGAAAGGTGGAAGGCGAGAGGAAAAAAAGAAGAATAAATCCGAGATGGATTCACTCCCTAAAGGAACCACGTGTGAGTTAACAATACAGGACATTTTGGAGATTGTTCATTCATACGGCTGTCATAGCTCACCTCCAATGGCACTTAACAACAGTATCCCTAGATTTAAAATATATTCATTTGCTCAAAAAAAAGTCTCTGGTTTACACACATTGTGCTTCTGTATCCTCAATTCAAAACACCAAGAAATGGCAATATTGTGCCCATGTTGTCAGTAGGAGAAAGAATGCCAAGCTTTACAGGCCAAAGGGCAGCCTCTATGACCTCTGTAAAGCTCTCTTCCAACACCACACTTCAAATGAGTTGACTTTTGTTCCTGTCTTTCTTCGTGGTCTTCCTTTCACTTAATATGGATGATTTTGACCTTGTTTTATTTATTTTTTTAAAAAAATTTACCACACCTTTCTCTTTAAAATGACATAAGGTAGCTTTCCAGGGAGATACTTTGCTAACTCTCAGCTCTCCGGTTTTTTTCGATTTCAAAAGGAAAACATGCACACATGTTCATAGAGCTTTTGGTCCAGTATGCCTCTTCATGTGCAGAATGCCTAGCCCAAAGAAAGGTTTGAGAATTGGAACAGAGCTTTCTAATCTGTACTCTGAAGAACAGGCATGCCAACAGGAACTCACCTGAGGGGTTAAAGGTCTTTGTTTCCCCATTATACGTGTTGCCCTCATTCACACTTTTGCTTCACCATTTCATTGTCCAAAAGTAGCCCTTCAAAATATTTTGGTGTTATACCCAATATATGAGAGAAGTTTCTTTTGGAATTTGTGTGTATTATATGTACAGTATACTTAAACATCCAGAATCAACCTGATTTTGCCCATTCACCTTTGTTGAAAATAAGACCCGACAATTGGTTTTTGTTTCATTGAGAAATGATTAACTGATGAAAATAGGAGTCAGCTTCTGGGATCTTCCCTTGATTTGTATCACTTTGTGAAAGACCACATTCATAAATCAGAGCTTTTTTGAAGAATTGAAGCTTATCATCTTTATTAATTCCTTTAGAGAGCTAGGGTTGCACTACTGATTAGTTTCTCCATATAAGAAAACCTGGAGGCCGAGAGGAAAAGTAAACCATTCAAAATACAACCTGATTTTGCCCATTCACCTTTGTAGAAAAAATACTTTGTTTTTCACTGATTAAAAAAGGAGTCAGCTTCTGGGAACACATTTTGATTTTAGATTTTGCTACATGATGCTAACCTTCTTTGTCACACTTTTGCCATCTGCTCCTGCTGGGGCATTATTAATCACATGGCCACAGAAGACAGAATCTACTGAGTTGAAAAAGCTGGACTTCCCAGCACCAATTTGCCCAACGAACAGAACCCGGATTTTTTGCACTGAATTTAAGGGAGGCTTATATTCTGCGATCTCATCCATCAGTTGTTTTCTTCCTCTGTTGAGAAAGTGAAACACACCAGCTTAGCAAAATACACCAGGATCAACCACATTGTCTTAGATAGCTCTAAAGTGGCCATTTTTTTTACAAAAAATAAAGTGCTTGGACAAAAAGCTCCGAAGCATAAGAAGGATGATGGTGTAAATGACCAGATTGTGTGGCTGAGAACCATCATCAACGTAGGTGGAGTGAATTTAAATTTTTTAATGGGAGTCCTACTAGATGTCATCCTTAGTAACCAAGGCAGATATCATCTTCACTAAGATCTTGCATGATATTTAGCATTATGCAGAGAAATGTGGGTCTCACTTGGCTTTTTTCCATCCTTTTTGAGCATGCAGGAATCTCCACCCCAAGCTGTTCTTCTAATGTGGGTCTTATGCTATGACACCCTTCTTGATGAAGACTGAAGGATCCCATGGGGTTTATGCCCTGCTTTAACTTGTTGAGAACTCACCACACCCAATGGGCACATGCCACACACTTCTAATGTGTTGTTTACATGACCTTGTGCTAATTGCACAAAAGAAGGGTGGGTGGTAAGGCAAGTGTAGTCGGCTCCACCCACCGTGACCCTTCCCTGTGCCCAACCAGCCATGCTAGAAGGCACCATCTTCCACTGGACAGGTGCATAAGGGAGGGGGGACACATGGGAAGCATTATGTTTCTTAATTGCCTCGGATAAAGGCTGCAATGGCCAAAGTCTCAGACTTTCTCCACACACACATGTCGCTTGCCCTCCAGTCCTCCCTCTGTCCCCTAATACTTCCCAATGAAACAGAGAGAGAGGGAGAAGTTTGCTTGTTTGTTTGCAGGGCTTTAAAAAGCCAGTAGTGCCCTTCTTGGAGAGCAAGTGGCCATTTGGAGAACTTACTTCCCCACACATTCTTCATTAAGGCCCAAAGAGGCCTCCCCCCCACCAAAAAAAAAAGATGGAAATGGCACAAAAGATCCCAGATAACCAATTACATCCCCAGGGCTGCTTGAAACTGGATGTTTCAAGCTGCCTCAAAATACAAGAAAAATGAAAAGTGTGGGGGAAGTTAAAGTGTGGGCTCGGGGCATGCAACCCATGGGCCACCCTTTGCTCCTTCCTGGCATAGATCAACCTCTCTCTAACTGGCGCCCTTCCAAGGTAAGAGACTACAGTGACCCACCATAGCATTTGTTTTTCCATTTTCACAATCAAATGCCCTTCATACCTATGGTTAATGCACATGACCATGAAATGTAATATAGGCATGGCCTAGTCGTAAAAAGGAGGTTACCTACCTGTAACCATAGTTCTTTGACTGGTCCTCTGTGAATCCACACTATTGGATTCCTCTGTGCCTATGCTGAACATTCTCAGAAGTTTCTAGAGCTTAAAGGCACATGATTAGTGGGGGTGATCCCCCGTGCAGCGCATGCTCCGCCCATCCTAGATCCCCTCAGTTCCTGATAATTGTCGGCCAAGTAAAGGAGTTATTTAAGAGAAAATGTGATGGACGGAGGGGAGGATGGGTGGCATGTGTGGATTCACAGAGCAGAAGTTTCTAGAGCTTAAAGGCACATGATTAGTGGGGGTGATCCCCCGTGCAGCGCATGCTCCGCCCATCCTAGATCCCCTCAGTTCCTGATAATTGTCCGCCAAGTAAAGGAGTTATCTAAGAGAAAATGTGATGGATGGAGGGGAGGATGGGTGGCATGTGTGGATTCACAGAGGACCAGTCAAAGAACTATGGTTACAGGTAGGTAACCTCCTTTTCTTCTTCATGGCCTCTGTGAATGCACACAATTGGGTGTCTAGCAAGCTCACTTACCAGATGGTGGGACATCACGGTAGGAAAAATGCCAAGACAGCTCTGCCAAACCCAGCGTCACTCCGTGCTCTGACATCTAGACGGTAATGTCTAACAAAGGTTGAAGGAGTAGACAATGTTGCCGCACAGCAGAAAGGAGGTATTTCAATCCCACACTGAAAGGCAGTAGACGTTGACAGCATTCTAGTACAGCATGCTCTTAGACGATCAGGAGGTGATCTGCCTGATAACTCATAGGCCAAAGAGATGGTTTGGATGATCCATCTGGAGATAGCTTGTGGGGAAGATGGCACTCCCTTGTGAGGACCATGAAAGCATAGAAAAAGTCTATTTGTTCTCCTAAAGGCTAGATGTTGAGCCTGGTCCTGTCAATATAGAAAGCAAGAGTGTCTTACGTCTAGTGAGTGGAACATGCACTCAAGAGGTGTTGATGGTGATGGAAAAAAGATGATTGGCTGATTAAGGTGGAAGTCAGATACAATCTTGGGCAAGAAGGAGACATTAAAATAAACGTGACCTTATCTGAATGGAAAAGATGAAAGGTAGATTGGAGCGGAGGGAAGCGAGTTCACTAGCTCATTTAGTGGATGCTACTGCTACAAGGAAGGAAGTCTTCAAAGATAATAATTTGAGATTAGAAGAAGCCATCGCTTCAAAGGGTGGACACATAAGAGCATTAAGGACAAGTTGCAAAGGCCATTGAGGAATGATACGTTGGCGTGGTGGATGAATATTATTAAGTCCCTTAAGAAACTTTTTTACAGTCGGGTGAGATAAAAGTTTAGCTGATTTGGAGTTAGCCGGCTGATGAGCAACAATGGCTGAATATAGACCTTTAAGGTGGAATAGGATAGTCCAAAGTTAAACAGGTGAAGCAGAAAGGTGAGCAGAGTCTTCAAGGAGACAAGTATTACAGGTAAGTTATTTGAGTCAGCGAAAGAGATGAATGCTTTCCATTTATTTTCGTATAGGAGCTGAGTCGAAGGCTTTCGAGCTCGATCAAGGACGGGATTATCCTCCAGGCTGTCAGATTCAGTGATGGAATGTCTGGATGGTAGACCATCCTGCCACCCTGTGTTAGAAGGTCAGGGATCAGTGGGAGTCGGAATGAGTATGTTGACATTGACCTGAGGTGAGTGAACCACGGCTGCCTCAGCCACCAGGGAGCTAGAAGTTTCACATTTGACTGGAAGTGCCAAATTCGAATGATTGTTCTTTGAATGAGTGGTATTGGTGGGAAGTGGTAGAGTAATTCCTTGTCCCAGTCTATTATGAATGCATCTCCAATGGAATTCTCGTCAACTCCGACTCAAGAGCAATAGACATGGCACTTGGTATTCGCTCTCGAAGCAAAGACATTGATGGTCGGTATGCCCCACCGACAGCAGAAGCAATCGAAGACGGTATCGTTCAAAGACCACTCATGTGTTCTCTATGTCAGACAGCTGAGGTGATCTGCAATGTAATTCTCGTCCGTAGAGATATGTACTGCTATCGGGAAGATGTGATGCTGGTAACACCATTCCCATAGCTGGATGGTGAGGTATAGAAGGGACAGAACTTTGAGTCTGAGATCTCAAAGTGTGTTGAGTGTAAGGCTGGTGGCTCCGGCAGCATTGTGATAGGATGTCGAGACTATTAGCCAGTCTTCTATGTAGGGAAAAACGTTTATACCCTGAAGTCGAAGATACACAGCGACTGGTGCCATACACTTTGTGAAGGTCCTCAGCGCTGTGGACAGACAGAAGAGAAGAGCGCAGAATTGGTATGTAATGCTGTCAAATCGGAACCGAAGAAATTTGTGGTGACACTGATGAATCAAAATGTGGAAATAGGCATCTTGGAGATCATCACAACAAATCAGTCTCCCTGTGAAAGTAGAGGAATGATAGTGTCTAGAGCCAACATTCTGAACCTTCGAGGTCGAATAAATTTGTTATGTTTGAGATTGAGGATGGGACTGAGTCCTCCGTCTTTATTGGGAACTGTATTTTGAATAAAAAACATTAAGCAGGTAAGATGAAGGGACTGTGATTATGGCTTGTTTCTGAAGAAACAGAGACTTCTTCATGAAGAACTGTAGAATATGGAGTATTGTCAACTTCCAATCAGTGGGGGGATTTAAACTCTATAAAGTAACCATATTTGATGATAAAGAGGACCCACTGGTAGTTAGTTATAGCTTGCCATGTATGAAGAAATGGGTTTAATCTAGTTCGGAACCTAGGTCAAAAATAGTAGAGTGTAATTGGAGCTTATGGGTATTGCTTACCCTTTTTCTGAGGCTGACTAAAGGGCTGGCGGCAGCGTTGTTGTTGATTCCAAAAGGAGGACGATACCAGAGATGAAGGGCCTTGAAATGTCTTGTCTGATTACTGTGGTTTATATTGTCGGTAAGGTTGGAATAATTTATATGGTTGATGTTGAAAAGATTGTTGACAGAACTGCTGTTGACGGGACTGAGGATGTTGGTACTTGAATGACTGCTGAGCAGAGTGAGATCACGCTGTTTTTCATATCTTGTGAAGATTCTCCATGACTTCATCAGTTTTCTGATTATACAGTCTGGTTCCATCAAATGGGAGATCTTCTATTCTTGATTTGGCATCATCAGAGAGGCCAGCAGACCTGAGCCACACATGGCATCATAGTGTAATGAAAGTGGCTAAGGATTTCGAAGCCGCATCTGCGGTGTGATGGGCCGCGATTCTTTGCGGCTTGGCCAATGTATGGATGTTGGCCAATTTGTATGGATGTTAAATGCCTCTGGTTTGATGGACTTGGGAGTTGATTCTAGTATAGGGAGGGTCTTATTCCACCACTGTCATTGGTAAGCTCCCATTGACACTTGATTATTTGCAACTCTCAATATGAATGATGTGAGAGTAAATTTGTCTGCCCAGTATGTCGAGCTTTTGTCCTTCCCTGTTGGTAGGAACAATGGAAGATTTGTTTCAAGCTCTGGACTGATTGGATTCCACTATTATAGAGTTGGGTGTAGGGTGCGTTGTGAGAAAACCAGTGTCAGGTCTGTGTATTTCTTAATGCAGATGGAGGCTTATCCCAATATTCCTTAATTAATTCCAGCATGGCTAAGATGAATGTGAGACATTTTTTTTCTTGACTGATGTCGTCAAAAACCAGGTCAGTTTTGGATGGTGGTGGTTCTTCGATGTCTAATTGAAGGGATTTGGCCATTCTCACAATCAATTGAGAGTAGGAGGTAAAGTCTTCAGATGCAGATGGAGGGTGGTTTTCATTAACGTCAGAGGTAAGTGTTGAAAGATTAGACGGTGATCCTTGAGAGGAGTATGATTCTAATTCTTGGATGGATGATGATGATGAAGATGGTGATAGGTGTCTGGGTCTCAGTATAGATGATTGTGCAGGTGGAGGTTGAAGTTGAATGGAAGGACATGTGAGGTACCTTTGTTTCAGCTGGAGGATGAAGACCTGTATATGTAGTGGTGACCTGTAGCGATGATTGCTGTTTAGAGTGTTTTGATATTTTGTAATGTGAACGTTGGACAGTCGGCACTGAGCGTTTCAAGTTTGGTTTAACTGTTGTGGCATGATAAGTGGGCATAGACTGTTGTGGCATGATAAGTGGGCATAGACTGGTGTCCATGCGGTGGTGGGGAGGGAGATAGTGATGGCAAATACCGAGACTGGTATGGTAAAGTGTACCTGACTCTTTTGGGTTCGTCATAGTAAAGTTGTTCCTGAGGTTCTTCAAGTAACTATAGGTCATAATGATGGTATCTCTCCCACCATTCATCACAAGCATGATACTGTGAAGATTGAGGGTAATAATATTCCCGGTATGGAGACACATACTGAGAAGGTGAGAGATGTTTATGCTTCTCTTGGTGCTTTCTAGGTGAGTGGTGAGATGATTCCGAGCCCAAAAGTTCTATTGCAATTGCCCACCCTGATGAAGAACTAGAATAGGCCAAGGCTTGGCTGGATTGCACGTCAGCCAGAGAAAGGTCGGTATGAAGCGACAAGCTACTGGTTGAAAATGGAGCTTGGGCCGATGGTAAGGGAGGCTCTTCCCTCTTGGATGTAGACCCTGGAGCATCTCTGGAAGACTCTTCCATGATAGGAGACGGAAAAGTTGGTTGTGGTGGGTTGATGTGAATAGACTTGACCTTTTTTGCCTTTTTAGAAGATGTCTTATCTTTTTTCTTTTTAGACAAACCAGAGGCTCAAGCTGAAGTCTTCCATATCAACTTCGATCTTGATGCTGATTTCAGTTTGTCTGACGTCTCCTTGGGAGGTGGAGAAGAAATCACAGAGCCAGGAGCAGGCTGTGATGGAATTTGCCGCTCTACCGGAGGATCTGGGGACCATGTGGTCTCCATCAAAGCTGAGGGAGGGTTGAGAGATTTCTCCCAAAGGTAGGAACTTAATATCTGGAGCTGAAGTTTGAGGGCAGGCTTCGTTAATTTCTTGCACGCCTCACAAGAGTGGGTGGGATGTTGTTAACCCAAGCAAAATAAACAACGGCCATGTCCATCTGTTAAAGGTATTTTGTTTGTACAAACAATGCACCACTTAAACGGGCCTGGTGAGGCCATAAAGAGTGGGGAAAAATAAGGGGGGAAGTGGCTTGAGAAAAAGGGGAGAAGCAAAAAGGCGACTAGATAAAAATAGAATGAACTTACAGGGTAACGCTGATTAAATGATTGGAAACAAAAAGGGTAAAATTTGAAATATGGATATTCTAGAATCTCAATGACAATCGCTCTATTGCTTTATTCTTCCGAAGGACGTCTAAATGACAAAGCGGAAAAAAGGAACTGAGGGGATCTAGTATGCGAGGAACATGCATTCCAGAGGGGAACAGCTCACTAATCATTTGAATTTAAGCTCTAGAAACATCCAAGACGTTCAGCACAGGCACAGAACAATCCAATTGTGTGCATTCACAGATGCCACAAAGAAGAACCTACCCAGATGGCTGATCAATCAACCTCCATGGTTTTTCCAGCATACAGTCAGCACCTAGAGGGGAAAAATGGGGAGGGGATGATCCTTGAAACTGAATTTAAAAACAACAACAACTTCCAAACCATTGAACATGAGCCCTCAGTAATTTGAAACAAAGTACCTAACTAAGGCCATGGCATAGCAATAACATATGCCTATATTTTCTAAACCATCATAAAACAATTGGGGATAATCACAAGCTTTGGCAGAAGAGGAGGAGGAAGAGGAGGAGCAGCCATTGAGCTACATAGAGAAAA